ACATCTCCCATCCTGGGAGGATCCTCCCAACACCCTTTAATTGGTGCTGCCTTCTCTATCTGAGCTGACTTTTCCCCTAGGATGTGCGGCTGGCCTCCAAGCTATGGAGTGAACATCTTGGTAGTTATCTCGGCTATTCTTGGTGTTAGCCTCCTATTTTGTTACTTTATGTTCCACAGATAAATGCAATCTTTCTATGTCTGTCCCTCTCTTTCTGAATCATTTCGCTTAGCATGATATTTTCCACTTTTATGTAAATTTCACGACTTAATCTTCTCTACACAGCGCCAGGGGGCCAGTTAGTGGGTGTGACCCCTGCCTACTGGAAGAAGGAGGATCTGGGTGGAGAATGCTCAGCCCCAATCTGAGTAGGCTTGAAGATTTCAGCCCCGGGACCCGCATGCCTTTGTTCCTCTGCAGGTACCTTCATGCGTGTGGAGAGTGTTCTCAGCATGGTTGTGGCTGGTTCTGGAGGTCTTCGACTGCTGGAGCTCTGTTCAGGGTGGGAAGGGAAACTCAACCGGTCCCCCTCCAAGGGGACCCGGTGAGGACAGCCAGGTGCGGGGACAGGAGACTCTGTGCTGTTCTCTTCCGGGAGCTGGGTTTTATAGTCTCTGGATCTTGGCCGTTGATGGGATTACAGGGGCGCCAGGGGGCCAGTTGGATGGTGTGACCCTGCCTACTTGAAGAAGGAGGATCTGGGTGGAGGATGCTCAGCCCCAATCTGAGCAGGCTTGGAGATCTCAGACCCGGGACCCTCATGCCTTTGTTCCTCTGCCGGTGTTATACCATCAACAACCAAGATCCAGAGACTTTAAAACCCAGCTCCTGGAAGAGAACAGCGCAGAATATCCTGCCCCCATGCCTTTTTGTCCTTGCTGGGGCCCCTTGGAGGTGGGCGGGTTGAGTTGCCCTCTCCACCCCGACCAGAGCTCCAGCAGCCAAAGGACTCCAGAACCAGATACAACCATGCTGAGACCACTCTCCTCACACATGAAGGTACCTGGCAGAGGAACTCCTCCTGGTGGGGCTGTCCCATGGCCTCTCTCTTCTTGTAGGTCCAGCATGGACAGCCTGGTTTCACACATGACGTTACATGTCCTGTCATAGAGGATGGTTCTTAGTTTGTCTTATTAATATTGGGAGGGGGGTCCTTCCCCATCTCCCTGCCTGCTTTGGATCCTGGCTGTCATACTCATTATCTGCCTCTGGGAGCAATTTCAGCGCATCAGTGGCCTTGATACAGAGACTCCCAGATGAATCTCAAAATGGATTGGCTCCCTGCAGGGATGTCTCTGGACACCAACCATTTACAATTTTGGAATTCCAACATCTCATGATATTCATGGTCACTTGATCACTAGATCACTTGACATCCTGTTACTCATCTATTTGCTCGAGCGGTGCCAGTAACATCTCCATTCATCCCTGTCATGTGCTAGTGTAGCCGAATGGCGTCTGCTCATTCTAGGAACACTGTATCAAGGTATCACGTAATCGTGTTGTTCATCGATTTCCTCGAGCAGGCACCAGTAACCTATCCTCCATCCTAGCCCTGAGATTTTAGAAAGTGCCATATTCAAGGCTCTTCCAGGGTCAGGAGAATGAGACCCATCATTGTTACTGATTTTTGGCATTTTTAGTACGCCCCAGGAGTTTGCCAGAGTCTGCCATTCGGGCAGAGTTTTCCTCCCCGCCCCAAGCAGAGCCCTGGCAGCCGATATCTCAGGAAACAGACACAGTCATGCTGAGACCACTGTCCACACATTCGGACAAGCCTCATGCATGAAGGAACCAGCAGAGGACCCCAGGCACTCGGGTCCCGGGGCTGAGATCTCCAAGCTTTCTCGGATCGGGACTCTACCTCCTCCACCCAGATCCCCCATCTTCCAATAGGTAGGCATTACACACACCAACTGCCCCGGCACCAGGTAATCCCATCAACGGCCAAGACCCAGAGACTATAAAACCTGGCTCCCAAAGAGAACAGCACAGAATCTCCTGCCCCCACGCCTGGCTGTCCTCACCGGGACCCCTTAGAGTCTCCTAGAAAGCTCGTGTGACCTATTCTAATGCTTTAGGACTGAGAGTAATCCAAGACGCCTTTAGTAATGAGTAAAAACACATAATATATCCCAAGAGTGGAAGGCTACTGAGAGTGAGTCTCCGTCATCACACCCTACACATACTTACACAAACAGGAGTCACTGCAGAGAGCATGAGGGAGGGGTGGGGCATGTGGGGAGGAATACCATGTTACTGAGGAAACACGATGACAATAGTCTGAGTGTAGATGCTTGTGGGTCACAAACTCCCTGTGCTTCTCCCAGCACCAAACCCCCACAGACCCCCACACTCTGCTGTGGCTCCTGTGCTTGGCCTATTCTTCCCAGTGATCTAAGCCCCCACACGACTCCTCTCGAGACCCCCAAGAGTGTGGTTAGACTGCAGGGGCCATTATCATTGCATCCTGTTCATCCTGACACTCTGTTCTCTGTGTACCACAGATGGATGAGATTGTCTGAATTTGTAATTCTCCCTCTGACAAACTTCACTTAATCTGATATTCTCTAGTTCCATCCATGGTGCAGAAAATGCTGCTATTTTGTCATTTTTTAACAAATGCACAGTATAATTTTTTGTATATACCCCACAACTTCTTACCCATGAATCTGCCATTACGCATTAGGATCATTTCCGTGTCCTAGCAGAGTATATCAAATGCTTCATTGTCTGTTTTCTTATAACTTCTTAATTTGATATTTTCACTTTTGGGTGAAGGTATCTAGCTTGAATCAGTTTCTTATATGGAAACTCTATTTTTTCTTTTTAGAGAAATCTCCTACTGTTTTTCATAGACATTATATCAGACAAAATTCCAAGCTAATGAGGAAACAGATTTGCTTTTGACAACATTCCAACTCTTTTTCCTTTCGAGTCTTTTTCTGATATAGGTCTTTAACCGTGATATCTCTCATTGTTCCTCTGATTTATATTTCCTTTATATTCCTGCCCCCACGCCTGGTTGTCCTCGCCGGGGCCCCTTGGAGGAGAGCAAGTTGAGTTTCCCTCCCCCCCCGACCAGGGCTCTGGCAGCCAATGACCTCCAGAACCAGCCACGACCATGCTGAGACCACTCTCCTCACGCATGAAGGTACAGGCAGAGGAACAAAGGCATGCGGGTCCTGGGGCTGAGATCTCCAAGACTGCTCGAATTGGGCTGAGCATCCTCCACCCAGATCCTCCAAATTCCAGTGACAGGGGTCACACCCACCAACTGGCCCCCTGGCAGCGTGTAATTCCATCAATGGCCAAGACCCAGAAACTATAAAACCCAGCTTCCGGAAGAGAACAGTGCAGAGTCTCCTGCCCCCGCACCTGGCAGTCCTCGCTGGCGCCCCTTGGAGAGGGGCTGGTTGAATTTCCCTCCACACCCTGACCAGGGCTCTGGCAGCCGAAGACCTCCAGAGCCAGTCTCCACCATGCTGAGACCACTCTCCTCACGCATGAAGGTACTGGCAGAGGAACAAAGGCATGCGGGTCCCGGGGCTGAGATCTCCATGCCTGCTTGGATCGGAGCTGAGCAACCTCCACCCAGATCCTCCAAATTCCAGTAGGCAGGGGTCACACCAACCACCTGGCCCCCTGGCGCCGTGTAATCGCATCAACGGCCAAGACTCAGAGACTATAAAACTCAGCTCCTGGAAACGCGCTGCCACTTCGCAGACCCGCAACATCTTATTATCTTATTCCTACTCTGGACAAACTGGCAGGCTACCAAATGTAACCTGGCCACACGGCAGAGTCTGGAAAACTCCCCGTGGCGTACCCAATATGCCAAATATTAGTAACTATGATGGGTCTCATTCTCCTAACACTGAAAGAGCCTTGATTATGGCACCTTTTAAAAAATCTCAGGGCTAGTATGAAGGAGATGTTACTGGGGCCTGCTCTTGGCAATCAACGAGATTCGCTCCATCTTTCTGTACTTCTGGAATCCCAAGAAGTCACGAACATGCCCCGAAGCCAGCACCAGTTAAAGATTTAACTTCAGCTATGTTATCCTGTTAAAATCTCTGGATTTCCTGGAGCGACATATCAAAAACACTACAACTCGATCAAACAGGAGTAGCACAGCAAATTGGACATTGGGTGGGATGTAATGTGGAAGACTCTGATCTCAATTAACAAGATATAATCACTGAAGGTTTAACCTGGAGGGAGAGACGGAGACAGAGACAGAGACAGAGAGAGAAATGAGAGAGAGACAGAAACGTAGACAGAGACAGAGGTGGAGTCTCTCCTGTGCAGACTCTGGTCAGCAGCTCCTGGATGACCTGGTCACCAGAACCTGGGAAAGATCAGGACTGTGGCAGAACAATCACCCCCTGACTCTCTGGGAGGGGCTGATGCACCATCTCCAGAGACCCAGGAACCCTGTGAACTGCCTGCATGGGAGCTTCCTGAGAGCAGGCAACCCCGGGGGTGTGACTGTGCAGGGGACTGTGGGTCAGTCAGGGGAGCCCAGACCAGACACCAATTCCTGGGGGGACATGGGAGTGACTGCAAGGGCGCTATGCACCACCAGAGGGCACTCGGGAGCCACTTGGGAAAGGCCTTAGCCCCACCAGGGGCAAAGAGGCTCACCATGTGCTAGAAACCTACATGGGCCAATATTCTGTCACAACACAGAGACACTCAGGCCCCATCACCCCCACTCACTCCGATCCATGCCCAGTTCCAGCGTCTTTCCTAGGACCCTCCCCTATCGCTCCCAGAGCAGTTCCACTCTCAGTGATACCCTCACACTCCTAACCCCGCTCCCTGTGGTCTTTCCTCCCTGTTCCCCACACTCACCCCACCAAGCCCCCAGGACTCCAACGCCTGAAAGGGTGAGTATTAATCGGTACTTTTCTGTTTGTTATTCTTTGTATAGCTTTCTCTTTGATATTCATGTAAGGTGTAGAACAGCTTTTCATCATTTTTCTCTCTCCTTCTAGAAAGTTCTTGTGACCGATTTTAAAGGTCCAAGACTGAGAGCAATCCAGGACGCCTTTAGTAATGAGTAAAAACCCATAATATATCCCAAGAGTGGAAGGCTATTGATAGTTAATCTCCATCATCACACCTACATACACTTACACAAAGAGGAAGCACTCCAGAGAGCATGAGGGAGGGGTGAGGCGTGTGGGGAGGAATACCATGGGCCAAGAGGAAACACTGGGTGAGGGATTTATTCACTGTTTTGGGTGTCATGATCACTGAACAGGTGTCCATATATGCCAGCGCTCATGAAACATTAATGATCTATAATCAGTATTCTGTGTAGGGCATGGCCTCCTTTGGTTTTTACTGTTAATCAAATATTGACATACTATGAAGGAGATCATAGGGTTGGGCCGATGTGAAGAGTCACACCCCATGCACCTCCATGCACACTACTCTCCAACATCCTCCAGGTAAAGATAAAATTCAGAATAAATACAATTGGTTCTCATTACAGGGAAGTTCTTGACAGATGCTAGCGATATTTTCTTTGGTATTATTTGTGAGTTTTTGTCTTGTTTTGGGTCTATACCTGGCGTTTCTCAGGGATTACTCCTGACTCTACACTCAGCAATTACTCTTGAAATTGCTGGGAGAAGCATATGGGATACTAGAGTTCAAACCTGTGTCAGCCATGTGCAAGGCAAGAGACTTTAGTCTCTGTTGGTTTGGATTTGTTGTTGTGCCATTCTGGTTAAACTGCTGGATTAGTGCTCAGGAATCACTCCTGGTGGGGCATGGGAAAACATACAAAGTGCAAGGAATGAACCTTAATCACCCAATGCAAAGGAAGAAGCTTATCCCTCTACATCTCTTATTATTGGAGAAAGATCCTGGTGAACAAGGATAAGTCATGGGATGCTATGAGCATTTTAAAGACAGACTTAAGAGAGAAAAGGTGTGTGTGTAGGGGGGGGTGGTTCAGGGGACGAACAGGCTTGTGGACTGAGAGCCCAGCACAGTGAGTTTTCACTTAGAAGCAGGAATCAACAGAAGAATGACATTCTTAGGTCAGCTGCCTAACTCAGTCTATATGAGCTAAGCTTTTAAACATCTGAGGGCCTTTGATATCAGGACAAACATCTTTATTCTCAGAGATGTTTCCTCTGGAAGAAACAGCAGAGACAGAGCAGACACAGGATCCTGCCTCAGGTTTCCCAGATATCAGGGCTGTGCTATCTGGTCATTCTGCCATACTCCTGATTCTGTTTTAACTCTTGGTTCCTAACTCATTCATAACTTGGTGTCATTCAGTGGATTACTTTTGTCTCAATAATGGGGATAACTCTTACAATGTGTTATGATATTATATAACATATTCAAGCTTTTCTGTGACAAGTGATGCATGAAACAGAAGTATGACTGTAGATAATTCATTCATTCATTCATTCATCATCCTGTTATTCATCGATTGCCTCGAGCAGACCCCAATAACGTCTCTTTCATCCTAGCCCTGAGATTATATTCAAGGCTCTTTACGATAATGAGACCCATCATTGTTACTGGTATTTGGCATATTTGGTATGCCACAGGGAGTTTGCCAGACTCTGCCCTGTGGGCAGGCTACATTCAATAGCCTGCAAGTTTGTCCAAAGTAGGAATGAGATAATAAGATGTCATAAAAAGATGTCCTGATAAGATGTCCTGGAGGTCTTCGGCTGCTGAAGCCCTGGTCGGGGCGGGGAGGAAAGCTCAACCCGCTCCCCTCCAAGGGGCCCCGGCAAGGAACAGCCAGGCGCGGGGGCAGGAGACTACACTGTTCTCATCCGGGAGCTGGATTTTATAGTCTCTGAGTCTTGGCCGTTTATGGGATTACACGGCGCCAGGGGGCCAGGTGGTGGGTGTGACCCCCGCCTACTGGAATTTGGAGGATCTGGTTGGAGGATGCTCGGCCCCAATCCGAGTAGGCTTGGAGATCTCGGCCCCGGAACCCGCGTGGATTTGTCCCTCTGCCAGTACCTTCATGTGTGCGGAGAGTGGTCTCAGCATGGTGGTGGCTGGTCCTGGAGGTCTTCGGCTGCCGGAGTCCTGGTCTGGGCGCGGAGGAAAGCTCAACCCGCTCCCCTCCAAGGGGCCCTGGCGAGGAACAGCCAGGCGCGGGGGCAGGAGACTGCACTGTTCTCGTCCTGGAGCTGGCAGCGAAGATGGGACTAAAAAAGTGACTCGTTTGTGGCCAGGTCACATTTTGTTAAGGGATCGCCTTATATAATAAATAAGGACAAAATATCACAAATTAAATTTTTTCATATACTTATTGCACGACAGAATCTTTTTCGAGTCACAAGTCACCCACAGAACCTGACACTTGCTCTGGATTCCTTCACTTAATCTATAGGTTCAAACAGAACGTTTTATGTAGGAGCAGAATATGCAAATGAGCCTCTCCCTGTCATGATGAAAACAGACCAGCCCAGCCTCAGCTCCAGGAGAGGAGTCAGTTCAGGGGTTCCCAGGGGCTTCATCCTGACTCACACAGAACCAACATGGCATGTGGGCTGAGCTCGCTTCTTCTGGTGGCTGTGTTAGGAGGTAACTCTTGGGCGACAGAGACACGAAGCATGGGAGAGATGGGAGAGGCAGATCATCTGTGTGAGGAGAGTTTCCTGACCAGGATGTCTTTGTGTTTTCAGGGGTCCAATGTGATGTGCAGCTGGTGGAGTCTGGGGGGAGGCTTGGTGCAGCCCGGGGGGTCCCTGACATTCTCCTTTGCAGCCTCTGGATTCAACTTCATTAATATCTGGATGAACTGGGTCCGCCAGGCTCCAGGGAAGGGCCTAGTATAGGTCTCAAGCATTAGTACTGGTGGTAGCACATACTATACTGACTCTGAAGGACCAATTCACCGTCTCCAAAGACAACAGCAAGAACACGCTTTCTCTGCAAATGAGCCGCCTGAGGGACTAGGACACTGCATTGTACTACTGTAGAGAGACACAGTGAGGGGAGGGCCATGTGGGCCCAGACTCAAACCACCTGTAAGAGGAAGCAGGGTGAGCATCAGGGGTGCCGGCCCCCAGGAGGCTCTGAGGACTCTCCCCTGAGGAAAAGTTGCTCATGACCAGATAAATCATCTTTTTTTGTGGAGATTAGGCCTAATCTGTCCCTCAGATCTCAGATAACCCCATAGACACCTTGTACTGAGTTCTCCATCCCCACTGTGGGCGGGAAGGAGGTTGTCTCATTCTATGCCTCAGGATAGTAGTTTTTACTGATGGGACCATAACTACCCGGAGGCCTGAGGGGCTCATTATTTTCTTGAGAAATTAAAATCCCCCTGTAGGGATTATCATGGTTTCCTGGTAGGAGTCACTTCATGAGAAAGAGAAATCCTGGCGTCCACTCAGCTGTGTGCTGGCTCCTTCCTTCTGCTCTCAGACACACAGTATATGCCCACTGACCCCTACCCTCTGACCTGCATCCAGATAGCCTCTACCTGGTCACCCCACACCTGGAAGTCTTGCTCTCTCGAATGGGCTGACCTCCAGTCCCTCTTCCACTCAATAAATGGACATTCATGTTTCCCCATTCCCTCTCCGCCCCTCAGACATTGTAGAGGAGAAACCCTGTCCAGTGACACGTGCAGCAATGAGCCATTCACAGTGAGACAGAGGAAGGACCCAGAACATCGATGCTCTCCCTGAGCCCCTACTCTTCCTCAATCCCCAGATACACCATACCCGAGAGACTAATGCTCCTTACTGAGACCATTGCAGATGTGACTCTGAATGATTTTCTCATTTTAGATCAACCTTAGTTTCCTGTCTGCCTTCCCAAGACAGAAAAACCTGGAGATTAGAATCTCCGCTTCTCCATACCCTCAACATGGTGACATCACTGGGCAGCTCTCCTGTTCTGGGGGCCTTCCAAAGTCACCTCTTTAAAATCACAAGTGCACCATTAGTTCTTCACTTAGGGAACTCAAAGAATTTTGAAGGTTCAGTATCAATAATAAAGACTAATGTTGAATTTAAATTTTCTATTAGAAATTACACTCCAAGTGATGATTGCAATGCGCTAATTTGGAGTTAAACTAATAGATACACAGTCATTCTGAAAAACGGTACTATTCAAATATGGATATTCTGGTATTTCTTTTAGTTTTGGGCACCCCTGGGAGTACTCTGTCTGTGTCCTGGTCTCCCCTGTAGTGCTCCGGAATCAGGCTAGTGGTGCAGGAAAATGAACATGTTCAAAGATGCTGCAATTCCATTGATCCTGCCCAAGTTGATGCGAAAAACAAAATTTTAAAGTTTCTGTAATGCCAGGAGTGTCTAATAATGATAAAATAAATCACTATCATCCCTTTGTTCATTGATTTGCTCGATCAGTCACCAGTAACTTCCCCATTCGTCCCAGCCCTGAGATTTTAGCAGCCTCTCCTTGCCCTGATCCACAGGACTAGTCAACGTGGATAACCGGGAAAGGGTGCGCGAGTGGGGAAAAAAAGAGAGAGATAGAAGAATGGAAGCAAGTCAAGACTCTGATCAAGTTCCAATTTTTTTTCTCCCAAGCTAGCCTTTTATAATTCATTACACGAGGAATGGGCAAAATGGGGAATTAACGAAGCATGCAGATATTCAATAAATCTTGGTGTGAGCCCTGACGGTGGGCTCATGGCATTTATCCCGGGCATAGCTAAAAACCTTACACAATGTATTTAACATTTTTCTAAGAAGAAATTTGTTCTTAAATTGCAGGTCAGGATTACTGACATTTTGGCTCCCGGCATGACAGAATGAATATAAAGAAATGCATACGTTTGAGGTGGTGTTTCAAGAAAAAAATTGTGATCAAAAACTATATTGTTATAAAAACCCTTTAAATTATATCTGTAGAATTGTTCTAGTGTGTAAACTCAAAAAAAGGCACAGCAGCGGCGGTGGCTCTATCTCTCCCCGAGCGTTCAGTAGCCTCGCGCTGCTTCCCCCACCCCGGAAGGTCGATGGCAATGGGCAAGCGAAAGAAGGAACGAGGGCCAGGCTGGTTGGTCTTAGTTGCAGTTTATTCCAATATTCTCTCCATT